AAAAAAAAAAAAAAAATACCTATTCAGCATTGGCGTGGTGAACGCCGAGGTTAAAATCGTATGGTCCAGTTCAGCAGTGCCCAAGCCAAGGATTTTAAATCCTTAAGAATTAATCAGATTAAAACGTACAGAAGTTTCATTCTCGTATGCATACGTGAGCCAAAAGTCGTTTCCCTTTAAGAGCTCCTTTTCTTTTAAAGTTGAATTTTAGGCAGATAAGAGCCTTACACTAGGGGGCAGACAGATACTGTACTTGCTCCAATCTTAAGCAATTTTTTCCCTCACAGCATATGCTCTGATTTAGCACTGTAAATTTTTCAGAGGACCCAACTCTGACAGCCCCTGGTGATTTTCAAAGTACCACAAGCCAGTGGTTAAAAATTGCATTGACTTGGAAGTTCAGAGGGACACAATAGGAGCCACTTTCCCTATTCATGGTGCTTCAGTGTGGTGGAAGAGAAAAACACACACATCCTATATTCAGGGAGAAGAGGAATTCAATGAATTCTGTTAGACGTAACTGGTTTCCACTGAGTTCAGAGTGAAACTCGGTATTTGTTCGATGTTGTCTTCATATTGCGATTTAATCTGCAAAGAATTACAGCACTGTTAGGCGACTTTCAACCAGGAAAATGCAGTCCCTTTTTTAGAATTACACAGATTTATCCCAACTTTTTTTAAATGAAAGCTTACCATTCTTCTCAGTAAAATAAATTTACATCTGCAATAAAGAGAGTAAGGAGAGGTTTGAAAACAACAATAATAACAACAGTATCAAAAATTCAGTTTTTGGAGATGTCTTTTCTCAGTTGAGGTACCTCTAATGAAGACGTTTCAAAATCCACCCCCCTCTTCCTTGCCTTGGTTACTCTCATCTTTTTTTTTTTATTCAGTCAAATTAGCTACAGTTCATAAACATATTCTATGTGCTAAAGAAACTCAAAGCACTGTTTATTAAAAATAAATATTAAAACAGTATTTGTTCGTAGAATTCATGTAACCTGTATCCTCTGATGAGCAAGTAGTTAATAAGTGAGCTGGATAGATGGTTCTTTATTTTAAGCCTGAAGCAATCAGACTATATAGTTCAGTTTTCAAAAATTTCTAAATGAACTTAAAAAGCGATCTACCATTCAACCTGTTATTCTTGTGCATGTTTTTAAAAGCACATCGTGCTGTAAAGATATCTGTTGTCGAGAGGTAAGAATTAAGGTCTCCCTGTAGTCAATTATTTTGATCCTTTATTGAGTTGAAATGGGAATCCCCTTCATCTTTTTCCTATCTAAACCACAGCCCTATTACAAGTCTGCATTAGAAGTAATAGACAAAAGCTCCCTCCCTAATATTTCGAAATCTGTAGATACCATAGGTGACTCTTGAAACTATAAAGATTAAAAAAAAGTTTCCCTATTCTCCTAATTTTGTTTCTTTTCCACCTACCGTGTCATCTTTTTTTAAGTGAAAGTTATATTGTTGTTCTAATCAATTGGAATTTCCCAGCGTGGCTTTGGCTGTGACCGTCCGCACCTCTCAGTATGGGCAATCTCATTACCTGCTAGGCTTATGATAGTTTAGTGTCCCCTATGAAGGGTTTTTTTTTTTTACAACTTTCAAATAATCTGAACAATTGGGGCTTTAGTCATATATGTGATAGCGCAAAGCGTGTAAGGTTTGGAAGACTCGAGATACATACAGGAGGAGAGGGAAGGATTTTCAACATCTAGACCCTTATCTTTATATAGCTCTACTTTTAACCTTCCTGTTATTCTGTCAGTATGTATGTGAATGAGGTATTTAATGCAAAATGCACATAAATCCAGGTTTGTGAGTATTGGAAGAATAGGGGGTGGATAGGATGGTGGTGGTAGAAAGGCTAGCCTAGACATCTCCAATCCCTGCGGCTGCCTATATTGAAAAAAATGCTTCTCTTTTAGTTATTAATTAATTTATTTAGGTGATGTATTCATCTCTCTTGGTGCTCCATGTTTTTAACTCATCACATTTTAAAATGTATATACTTGGTTGGCTTACCTGTTTAGTGTTTCTCATGTGTAAAGAATCTGTGTTCTTGAGTCATAATCTTAATCTATAAATATGTAATAATCATGAACCACTGCCTCGTCGAAAGCAAACAGAAAAGTTAATAGATTGAAGTATATTGCGTTCTGGGGAAATCTTGTAAGATACATGTTTTATCCTTTTTTAAAAACCGCTCACCTTGGCATACTGAAACAACTATCTTGAATTATTTTTGCACAACAGAACTGAAGGTTATGGCATGTGCTTGAATTAAATTGCTTTTACTGATATAAATCCTCCTTTTCTTAATTTTACTTGTGTGTGTGCCCATAAGGATATGTGTGTGCTGATACTATTTTTAATTCCGCTTAAGATCCCTTGTTTGAGGGTCTTAATGGTTATTTGAAGGCTAGGGAGAAATCGAGAAACAATGACGCTTTAGTCAACACTTTGTAATCTAGAAGCATTTTCTCTGAAGTCTTTGTCCTTTTATATGGAAAGATGTATATAAGATACATGGATATTTCACACATAAATGTACATGTATGTATACATGCATTAGCATGGTATGAAGATAAAGTGGATGCGTTAGAAATAACCTTCATATCATTCAGTCAGAAAGACCTTTTCCCTCATCCAAAATAGACTATTGCCTACTTTAATTTACTACCTCTGCTTTACAGTTATTTAAAACAAATGATAGTAAATAAAGTTCAGGAAAATGTATTTTAATTTTGTGAGGACAATAAAATGTAGTTACCTTTTGGGGTATCAGCATCCTATATATACTTTATTTGAACAATTAAAAGTTCATTCCACATACCTGTGAAACTTTAACCCTAAAAAGAAAAAAACAGAAAGCTGAATATTATAATTTTTTTAACCACAACAAATACAGTCACTGATTAGAGGTATTTATTACAAGGTTGACCAATCACCTGGTGTAGCCGACGTCACTTTCATTCCCTTCTTATCTGACTCCCTTCATCTGCCCTCCCCCCATTCCCCGAACTTTAAAAAAAAAATCCCAAGTAACTTTTCCTCCTAGACACTCTCAACATAAAAATGTGAGAGCCCCAGGTTCTTTCTGAGATTAGTTTTGTGGCGCCTGTAAGTTGAGGGGAAAAGTCTTATTTTCAATGCTTCACAAATAGCTTTTTAGTACTATTTTGCATGCATGTTTAGCTGTTTCTCTCATCTTTGATAAAATCTCTGACGCAAGCTTTGGTGGTATAAGGGGAGAGTGCAAAAAGGGAGAAGGGGTGCAAAAAATAATCCCTTTAGCCAGGGTTTCTCCCTCCCCCTCCCATCGCCTTTCTTTCCCCCTGTCCTCTCCCCCGCCCCCCTCTGTTGCAAGCCGTAGGAGGCAAGGCTGAAGCGAACTGCCAGAGACTCATCTCCCTTTAGGACCGGGCAGCTCTCTCTGGCAGCCATACCAGGCAGCACAAGGCTCATTTGGCCAATGAGGGGGAAGGGGCGGTCCGGGAGCTTTTGACCAGTCAAACACAGTCTGTTGCCTTATAAGGCGAGTGGTCGCCATGGTAACGTGTGCTAAGTTGCAGCAGTCGTGTCAAAGTTCACTATATAGAGAGCTCAGTGAGCTGATCGCAGAGAAACCACTTCTGCCAGCCCCGGCGCCTATAAATCGCATTCACTCCCTAACCCCCCTTTTTAGCATATTTGATCACTTTGATTCTCTGTTCTTTTCTCCCCCCCTCCCTTTTTTTTCCCCTCCCTCCCTGAGTTGCCTTCTCTGTGCTGTGTTGTGTGGCTTTTTTTTTTTTTTTTGCGCATGAAGGATGTTCTTCTAGGTTGTGATCTTCCCTCCTCTCTCTCTTTTATCATTATCCCCGCTGCTGCTGGAGAGTTGACTCTTTCCCTATGTGTCTGAACCAGCGGCGCTAGAACCACTCGCTAGAAGGAGCAAGGAGGAGGAGGAGGAGGAGGAGGAGCAGTAGCAGCGGCGGCGGCGACGGCGGCGGCAGCAGCAGCAACAACAAGCGAGCAGGGGGAAGCAGCAGGACGAGCGGCGGCGGCGGCGACGGCAGCAGCAGCAGCACCACGAGCGGCAGGACGAAGCCACCACCGCGCAGGAGCCGAAGCCAAAGCAAGAATTTGATCAGTTTCATGGTTATACCCCTGGACTTGAAAAAAGCTCCGGCGAGACCGTCGGCTCCCTGCACCGAACGAAGTCTTGTAGTTGTGTCTTTTTTCGCCCCTGTGTGTGTAATCTTTAATCTTTTATTCATTCTTATTTTGATGGCTTTCCTGAATGGCTGACTGTGAGCTGCCCTGGACTTGGCCCCCAGACAGTCGCCTCTCCTCCTCCAACTCCTCTGCTACAGAATAGCTTTGAGAGAGAGTGAGTGAGTGAGAGTGAGAGAGTGAGAGAGAGAGAGAGTGAGAGAGAGAGGAAGAGAGAGAAAGCAAGCGAGAGAGAGAGAGATCTTTGAAGAGATTTTTTTCTACTTCTGTCTTGAAGCCAGACAATCGACTTCCATCTCCCCCCCTCCCCTCCCTCGCTCTCCACATTT